AATTGCAGCTTTTTACCATTAAAATACTACACTTGGGCATTGCAAATTAAGGTATGATGTAAAAAACTAGTAATGCGTCTTAATGCCATCCTGAAGCGTCATAAAGCTCGTTTAGAAAACCCTGTCTGCGCAACATCCTCAAATTGTGATGGCACCATCGGATGACGAACGAGCAGTTGCTGATGACCACCGGTCTGAGTAAATTATTAGATGAACTGAGATGCTGGAGCAAGGGATGAAGACGCGCTTGAGGACAATACAAAGAGTGGAAACACCTCGTTGAGGCAGACCTGCTTGCGGAGATGAATCTGACCTTACCCCAGCAGTGAGCATTGCTCAAAATTAATCAAAAGTACTATTTCTAACGGTCTGATGTTATATGTCTTATTTATTCTGCATTTTAATCTATGTTAATCTCAGATGACAACGACAAAACAACCCTTCGTTCTAATGAACTTATAATGGAATTATGTACTTAAATTTTGCATTTCATGAAAGAGGCGTGATTGTATGCCATTTCCGTGCCTCCATATTTGAACAACCCCAGAGGAGATTCAATTTGCATCACAGGTCTTCTCAGATCTGCACTTTGGCTAGTAGACCTGCACAAACCTCTAGTGTAGACGGAAGATTAGCGATGTGAGGCAGATCTGGAAAATAGCTGCTGGATGGAAATGGTAAGCCCATCTCCCGAGCCGTATCTCATGATCTTGTACTGGATCGCAGCCGGCATCGTGTATGAAGATGAGCTGAGATCGCTGGTAGCGGACAACTACCGTAATCCTCGGAAGAACGATCGCCAGCCAGTTTATCCGTTGCTCTGATGCGCTGGCAAAGTTGTTTAAGAGGTATGTTTCGACTGTGAAGACACCGGGTTCGATTTTGTTACAAGACCGTCCATTTTATTAACGAATTCCTATGAGCAAGGAGTTTACCAAACCTTTCTTCAGACTAGGGCATCGAACTCAGCACCGATAAATCCTGATTTCAAGTGCAAGCCGGGGTCACTCGCTCTTTTTCCTTCTGAAGTTGATACATGAGTACCACTCGGTGGGAAGCAAACAGAAGACTATATACTACGTTTACCACATATCTATTAAGTTCTGCCTTTAAAAATACTGCACTCTTAACCGATGGCACGGAAACAGAAATCAGCGCCGTACGATCAACTTCATGAAAAGAAGAACGCAAAAATAGCCAATCGTGAAAGTGGAGGAAGACCGACTTTACAACGGTGATTAATTTTCACTCCCTTTCCTTCTGTTAGTTTAACCTACAAACTTCTTAAATAATTCTATTATAAAGTTAGTAACTTTCTGCTTGGCAGAAGCGAACTATTTTTACTTCGATGGTAAGTTCTACAAACAACCAAAGGAGCACCCATTTCCCATTTTTGCCGAAATTTTTATGGAACATTTCAAAATTCTGGCCCGGAATAGCAACCCTGAGTTGATTCCAAAGTTTTTTTAAATGACATACTGGCCATATTTTTGCCATCTATCTTAGTAAAATAAACTGCTATATCTTTTCAACAGCTTCTACCCTCAAAATATAAAGTTAAATATTGAAAAGAAAAATAATTCAAGTGTGCCCTTTCTCAATGGTTTAATAATTAACTCCAGCAGCTGCTACAAAACTAAAGTTTATCGCAAACCTATTAACATTTATAAATACCTACACTTTAACTCACGCAATCATCTAAATAACAAAAGATCTGTACTTATAGCTGTAATAGACAGAACTCTTACACTTTGTAGCAATGAAATTCTCAAAGAAGAAATTAAAGGTATCAAGACAACCTTGTGTGATA